ACTTGTTTATGTAGACAACAGTAGTACCAAAGATGGTTATTTTTCACATGTTTGTAATGCAGACTAACTGTTGTAAAATTTTAAGTGGTTTCTAAATCAGTGTGGATGTTTGTGACTTGTAAGTTGGTGACCTGTATTACAGTCCCAGGCTTGACTTGAGCCTCTCACTGAGTTATTTTAGTAGATGATTGTTTAGAATTTAATAGATTGATGGGCAAACTGCTAACATATGAGGGTAAAAATTAGTCACTTAGCAAGATGGTGTGAGTGAAATATTGTCTAATGAATGCTCTCCTTGCTAAATATCTCTTTTCCCACAATTGTGAACCATGTGCTTTTTTCTTTCATATAGTGCCAGGAAAATAGGAGAGTGGGTAATACAGTGGACCCCCGCATAACGATGGCATCACATAGCGATTATTTCGCATACCGCTTACTTTAATCGCAAAATTTTTGCCGCGCATACCGATTAAAAACCCGCTCACCGATTTTCGTCCGAGACGCGTCCAATGTGCGCCCTCACCCAGCCTCACATGTGCCGCCCGTGCCATTGTTTACCAGGCAGCCTCCGCGCTAACATCCAAGCATACACTCGGAATATTTCGTATTATTACAGTGTTTTCGGTGGTGTTTCTGGAAAATAAGTGACCATGGGCCCCAAGAAAGCTTCTAGTGCCAACCCTGTGGTAAAAAGGGTGAGAATTAGTATGGAAATTAAGAAAGATTTTAAAAGGGTTTTGGGGTTTAACCCTGAGAAGCCTATCCCCAATTTGGGGAAATTCCATTTTTCCTACTTAAAAAGTTTAAAAGGAAATGTGTGCACGGGGGGTTGAACTGAAAAACCTTTATGGTGAAAATCCCCCGGGGCCCACAGCTATTGAAAGGGCCGGTGCGGGTGGATATTTCAAGACAATGTTGTGGCCCATTTTGGGACAAATCGTAAAGGAACGGGGGGTACGAGCTCTAGGGGAACAGATTTTTTTTGGGCGACAGAGGCCCAGGGGGACTCTCAAGCGGGTTTCCTAGGGCTTTTAAAAGAAAAAGGGGAAAAAGAAACCCCGGGAAAAAGGACTTGCTACCTAAAGGGCCCTTAAGGGAAAGGGGTTTCCCCCTTCAAAAACGTAAGAAATAATGCTCTTCCCCTCCTCCCATCCCCCCAATTTTCATCCCAGATCTTCAATAAAAGTAAGTGTCATGTAAGTGTGCTTCCCTTTTTTCGTTTGTGTGTTTAAAAAAATTAACTTTTCCCATGTGGTAAAAATTTTTTTTTCTTTACTTTTGGGTGTTTTGCAGGGAAATTTAATTTTTTTTCCTTTATTTTTTATGGGGAAAATTCTTTTAAATTAAACGATTTTTTGGCATAAAAATTCCCCCTTTGCACGGTTTTAAAATCTTTAAAACCGGGGGGCCACGTAGTTTGTTCGGGGTTAAAAAACCTAGAGATTTTCTCATTCTATTTTTGAATATTATTACTATTCCTTAAAACTAGCTTTAAATTAATTAAAAAATTTGGGGGGTATTACTCCCTTTTTTCGGGGAAAAATTTTTTGTGCCTCCCTTCAAATGATTACTTTAACGTATATGTTTTTTATAAGATTGTTTTTAAATTGTCCGTTATAATTAATTTCTCATTTTTTTTTATCTACCCTTCGCCCGTTTGCTAAGGAACGGGGAGGGAAAAATTTTTGATACTGGTTTCCCCAATGCTCAGGAATTTGCCCTTGAGTGGTTTTAAACTGGGCTCTGATGATTTTATTTTTTTTCAGGAAAATTTAACTATTATTTTCAAAATTCCTTGACCCCTTCTTAGTATACAACATAAAATGGTTAGGAAGAACATCTGTAAATCTTTGGTTTCCATGTTTTTTTTAAAGATAATTTTTGCATACAGTCCCAAATTTCCAGTTGAAAGGGATTTCATAACTTAATGCTTTTCCTTTTTTACATACATTTAAATTTGGCAAGAATATCCCTTTTTAAACCCTTTAAAATTGCCCAAAGTGTAGATCATGTTAAATAGGCTTGTTTTCTGAACGTGATCTCGTTCGTTTTTACATTTTTTTCCTGTGTAAAAAAAATGTAGTTTCTACTTTTCGGAGCGCTACAGGGGATAACCTTTTACTGCTTAAATTTTTTTGTTTGTGCTCTCATTTTTTAAAGGCAGGCAAGGTATCTAAAAGAAATACAAAGTTTTCTTTTGTTGCTTCCCACAGAAAAAGTAGGCATCTAGTTTACTAAAAACGGTCTTTGAGACATATTGAGTGTATTTTTTAAAATAGAGACGAAAACAAATTCAAAATATTCATGGATAAATGCTGGAAGAAAAGGGCCCCTTTTTCTGTACATAAAAAGCTTATTGGTGTGAATTTTTCAGTTTGTTTTCCCCCAAAAAAAAAAATGGTGGTGGGTTGGTCCCTTTAACCGACGGGGGAAAATTTGCAACAGATATTAAATGAAAGGTTTATAAAATTACTCAAGACATTTATTTATTTTAATATATGGTACAGTTTTGGTAGATTATTTAAAAACACATAAAAATAGATTTTAAGCTTTCTCTAGTCTACTTTTTTTGTTATTTTTTTCTAAATAATTTCCAGATTTAAAAAATTTAAATAAAAATTTTTTTTTTTTTTTTTTTTTTTTTTCAACAAGTGGGCCCGTCTCCCCGAGGCGGGTGCCCAAAAAAAGAAAAAAAATCCCCAAAAAGAAAATACTTTAACATCATTTAACACTTTCACCACCCCTCGCCCCAAATTTTTACTGTTTTTGCAGAGGTGCTCAGAAAAACAAAAGGGGCTAGAAGCAAAAACCTATTAAAATACACAAAAAAATCCCCCCAAAATGCCAAAATCCCCCAAAACCCCCCCTTTAAAGTGCAGGCATTGTTTTTCCATTTCCCGGACTCAAGTCCCAAATATATGAAAAAAAACCGGTTTCCCCGAATCCCCTTTATAAATATTACCCTGCTCAACTCCAAAAAGATCGTCAGGTCCCAAAATTTCCATTTGTTTTCCATTACTCCATTAACCGCTCACGCACGCTTTCTGGGGTTTCCAAACCCCTTACCCCCAAAAACCCCCTTTTTCCCCCCCTCTTCCCAAAACCCTTTTTAGGCGACCCCCACCCCGCCTTTTTTTCCCCTATGATTTAAAATGCTTTCCAAAGTCATTCTATGTGACCAAATTTTCTTAAATGGGCCCAAAACCCCCTCAAAAACCCCCCTTCTGGCCCCCCTGGGCTAATTTTTTTTTTAAATCCACACCTTCTCCTAAATTTTTTTCCCCTCCGAATTTTCTGGGATTAATATTTAAAACCACACATTGCCCCTTTAAAAAGGACTTTTCCGGGCCCCCAACCGTTTTTCCCCGCTGCTGGGATTTTCCACCCAAGCCACACCCATTTAAGAGTTTTGGGTTTCTACTTTACTTTCATAAATTCCCTTTTTGCCTCCATAATTAAAGTTTTTTGACTCCACATTACCTCAAAAAAACCACTCACCTTTTTTCCCTTTATCAATTTTTTGGGTTAACCTCCCTTCTTAAAACCTCCCCCGACAAAGTCAACTCCCAAAATATCTAAAACATTCACTTTTTCCCCTTTCTCCCCCTTTCCCCCAAATTTTATATCCCAAATTTTTTTTATTTTTAAAACCCTTTGACAAACCCCCATCACCTTTTCTCTTTTCTATGTTCATTTCAACTTTCTACCCTTTTCACATTCCCCCAACTCATCCACCCAACCCCCCTTTTTCCCCCCCTTTTTTTTTAGAAACTCCCCTAGCACAGTATCATTCCCCCCCCCGTAACTGTGGGCAATTCCCATTTTGAATTTGATTCCCCATATTTAATCCCACCCCTCTCCCAACACCCTAGCATTTACTTCCTTTACAACCCCATCTATAAATATATTAAAACAACCATGGTGACATTACACATCCCTGTCTAAGACCTACTTTTACCGGGAAGTAGTCTCCCTCTCTTCTACACCCTAACCTGAGCCTCACTATCCTCATAAAAAACTCTTTACAGCATTTAATAACTTACCACCTATTCCATATACTTGCAACATCTGCCACATTGCTCCTCTATCCACTCTATCATATGCCTTTTCTAAATCCATAAATGCAATAAAAACTTCCCTATCTTTATCTAAATACTGTTCACATAATATGCTTCAATGTAAACCCCTGATCTACACATCCCCTACCCACTCTAAAACCTCCTTGCTCATCCGCAATCCTACATTCTGTCTTACCTCTAATTCTTTCAATTATAACCTACCGTACACTTTTCATGGTAATACTCAGTAAGCTTATTCCTCTATAATTTTTACAGTCTCTTTTGTCCCCTTTCCCTTTATATAAAGGGACTATACATGCTCTCTGCCAATCCCTAGGTACCTTCCCTCTTTCATACATTTATTAAACAAAAGTACCAACCACTCCAACACTATATCCCCCCCTGCTTTTAACATTTCTGTCATGATCCCATCAGTTCCAGCTGCTTTACCCCCTTTCATTTTACGTAATGCCTCACGTACCTCCCCCACAACTTACATTCTGCTCTTTTCACTCCTAAAAGATGGTATACCTCCCTGACCAGTGCATGAAATTACTGCCTCTGTTTCTTCCTTAACATTTAAAAGTTCCTCAAAATATTCTCGCCATCTTCCCAATACCTCCATCTCCCCATCTACTAACTCCCCTACTCTGTTTTTAACTGACAAATCCATATTTTCCCTAGGCTTTCTTAACTTGTTTAACTCACTCCAAAATTTTTTCTTATTTTCATTAAAATTTCTTGACAGTGCCTCTCCCACTCTATCATCTGCTCTCCTTTTGCACTCTCTCACCACTCTCTTTACCTAATATATGTACCTTCATAAATGTAAAATAAGCATAAAAATGGCATAGACTAGTTTTATGCTGAATCTTAGAGATTGTGATTAGAGTTATCATTTTAAATATTATATGTTGGTAATTTTACATTTATCTTTGGCAGGTGTTGCTTTTGTGTGACATGGCCTTCAGGAAGAGTGGCAAAGTTGAGGAGGATGCAGAAATAAAACGTCTCTCAGAACTCAGTGTGGGAAGAGAAATGGAAACAGATAAAACAAGTAAAAGTATTAAGAAATACTTTACAAGCACCCCAAAACAAAAGTAAATTTCAACATGAATGTGATTAGCATATGAACTTCAAACATTTATATGTTTGAAATACTATACTCTTACAAACACATAAAGTTGAAACATCAGTCATACAGTTCTTTAAGTTGCTGTTTTCTTACTTCATTTTGACTTTACATTTATTTATAATTTATATAAATGCAATGCCTACACTCAGAAGGAAGGGGGAAGGTATGCTGCAGTTGGAGGGTAATCTGAATAGTGATGTCAGCACATTTCTGGTAAGACAGTGACTGAATGAATGATGGTTAATATATTTGGGGGGGTCACCCTACCTTGGTGGGCAACTGCCATTGAGGTAAAAAATTATTTATAGTCTCTGGCCCAGGGCCAGGCTCTAGGAGTAGAAAATCTCAGACCTCATGAAGGTATTTATAAATTTACTAGAAATTAGGGAATTTTTAATTTGTATTTTTTCTTGTATATAAATACTTAAGGGAAGTTCTTCATGCTGATGAATGGCTTTTTGATCCAAGGCAGATGGACTTTATTGCTCCTTCCTTGGATGAAACCTGATTACCTTGCATTATTCCCTCATGAGTTTAATGTTCCCCTTGAATGGAGTAATAAATTATTTTATGTAAATACTTTTTTTTTTTTTTTTTTTACCAAAATGGCCATGTCCCTCTAGGCAGGTGATTCAAAGAAGAAAACACAATCGCCATCATTCATTACATTTCTGTTCTGCCAGAAATACTTGGACTGCAGCATCCTTGCTCCTCCTTCAGAGTGCAGGCACTGTACAGGTACCATCCAATTTATGACTGAGCTTGGTTCTGACTAACCGGTCGTTAAGGCAAAAAGGGACATAAGTGAAACCTTACTACTGAATATTAACATCACATTTTTGTAATGACTTTATTTTATTGTTTTATTTTGGTATTTAATTTTTTACTTTACTTTTTATGCTGTTAGTATGTACTTTATTTTATACTGTATGGTTTTTGATAAACACTGTGTACAATGCAAACAATTGTTTATTTCCCAGAAATTTGTCATACAAAACATGGTCGTAAGTTGGGTGGTCGTATGTTGAGCAGGTCGTAAGTCGGATGGTAGGTGTATTTCCCAACTCGAGAACTCTGGTCTGGCTAACTGGACTGCTTTTCATTAAATTAAAATATTTTAGTTTTGTGTGTGAGGGGCTTGGACTTCCAACAAGCATGCATTAGCATGCTTGGAGTGAGTGGAGACAAATGGTTTTTAAGACTTGACGTGCTGTTGGAGTGTGAGCAAGGTAACATGAAGGGATTCAGGGAAATCAGCAGGCCAGACTTGAGTCCTAGAGGTGGGGAAGTACAGTGCCTGCATTCTGTGTTACTATTGCAGTTTTATAACTGTAGAGTAAGTGTGCCTCTAGCGAGACAGTGATGGAGTGAATGATGAAAGTTTTTCTTTTTCAGGCCACCCTGCCTTGGTGGGAAATGGCTGGTGTGTTAATAAAAAAAAATTAGCTTTTGCTTTTTTTAATGGAGAATTTTTTTTTTTTTTAACAAGCCGGCCATCTCCCACCGAGGCAGGGTGACCCAAAAAGAAATAAAATCCCCAAAAAGAAAACGCTTTCATCATCATTCAACACTTTCACCTCACTCACACATAATCACTGTTTTTGCAGAGGTGCTCAGACCACAACAGTTTAGAAGCATATACATATAAAGATACACAACATATCCCTCCAAACTGCTAATATACCGAACCCCTCCTTTAGAGTGCAGGCATTGTACTTTTCATTTCCAGGACTCAGTCCGGCTATACAAAAATAACCGGTTTCCCTGAATCCCTTCACTAATTATTACCTGCTCACACTCCAACAGATCGTCAGGTCCAAATACCATTCGTCTCCATTCACTCTATTGAACACACTCATGCATGCCTGCTGGAAGTCCAAGCCCCTCGCCCACAAAACCTCCATTACCCCTTCCTCAACCTTTTCGAGGACGACCCTACCCCGCCTTCCTTCCCCTACAGATTTATATGCTCTCCATGTCATTCTACTTTGATCCATTCTCTCTGAATGACCAAACCACCTCAACAACCCCTCTTCAGCCCTCTTGACTAATACTTTTATTAACTCCACACATTCTCCTAATTTCCACACTCCGAATTTTCTGCATAATATTTACACCACACATTGCCCTTAGACAGGAGATCTCCACTGCCTCCAACCGCCTCCTCGCTGCTGCATTCACAACCCAAGCTTCACACCCATAAAGAGTGTTGGTACTACTATATTTTCATACATTCCCTTCTTTGCCTCCATAGATAATGTTTTTTGTCTCCACATATACCTCAATGCACACTCGCCTTTTTTTCCTCATCAATTCTATGATTAACTCATCCTTCATAAATCCATCCGCCAACACGTCAACTCCCAAGTATCTGAAAACATTCACTTCTTCCATACTTCTCCTCCCCAATTTAATATCCAATTTTTCTTTATCTAAATCATTTGATACCCTCATCACCTTACTCTTTTCTATGTTCACTTTCAACTTTCTCCCTTTACACACACACTCCCAAACTCATCCACTAACCTTTGCAATTTTTCTTTAGAATCTCCCATAAGCACAGTATCATCAGCAGAAAGCAACTGTGTCAATTCCCATTTTGTATTTAATTCCCCATAATTTAATCCCACCCCTCTCCTGAACACCCTAGCACCCTATTGAGGAAAATTAAAGCACATGGAATAGGAGGAGAAATTTTTTCCTGGATAGAGGCATGGTTGACAAATAGGCAGCAGAGAGTTTGCATAAATGGGGAGAAATCAGAGTGGGGAAGTGTCACGAGCGGTGTTCCACAGGGGTCAGTGTTGGGCCCCCTGCTGTTCACAATCTACATAAACGACATAGATGAGGGCATAAAGAGCGACATCGGCAAGTTTGCCGATGACACCAAAATAGGCCGTCGAATTCATTCTGACGAGGACATTCGAGCACTCCAGGAAGATTTGAATAGACTGATGCAGTGGTCGGAGAAGTGGGCAGATGCAGTTTAATATAGACAAATGCAAAGTTCTAAATGTTGGACAGGACAATAAACCATGCCACATATAAAACTAAATAATGTAGATCTTAATATTACGGATTGCGAAAAAGATTTAGGAGTTCTGGTTAGCAGTAATCTGAAACCAAGACAACAGTGCATAAGTGTTCGCAATAAAGCTAATAGAATCCTTGGCTTCATATCAAGAAGCATAAATAATAGGAGTCCTCAGGTTGTTCTTCAACTCTATACATCCTTGGTTAGGCCTCATTTAGATTATGCTGCACAGTTTTGGTCACCTTATTACAGAATGGATATAAATCTCTGGAAAATGTACAAAGGAGGATGACAAAGTTGATCCCATGTATCAGAAACCTTCCCTATGAGGATTAGACTAAGGGCCCTGAATCTGCACTCTCTAGAAAGACGTAGAATTAGGGGGGATATGATTGAGGTGTATAAATGGAAGACAGGAATAAATAAAGGGGATGTAAATAGTGTGCTGAAAATATCTAGCCTAGACAGGACTCGCAGCAATGGTTTTAAGTTGGAAAATTCAGATTCAGGAAGGATATAGGAAAGTACTGGTTTGGTAATAGAGTTGTGGATGAGTGGAACAAACTCCCAAGTACCGTTATAGAGGCCAGAACGTTGTGTAGCTTTAAAAATAGGTTGGATAAATACATGAGTGGATGTGGGTGGGTGTGAGTTAGACCTGATAGCTTGTGCTACCAGGTCGGTTGCCGTGTTCCTCCCTTAAGTCAATGTGACCTGACCTGACTAGGTTGGGTGCATTGGCTTAAGCCGGTAGGAGACTTGGACCTGCCTCGCATGGGCCAGTAGGCCTTCTGCAGTGTTCCTTCGTTCTTATGTTCTTATGTTCTTATTTACTTCATTTACAACCCCATCTATAAATATATTAAACAACCATGGTGACATTACACATCCCTGTCTAAGACCTACTTTTACTGGGAAGTAGTCTCCCTCTCTTCTACACACCCTAACCTGAGCCTCACTATCCTCATAAAAACTCTTTACAGCATTTAGTAACTTATCATCTATTCCATATACTTGCAACATCTGTGACATTGCTCCCTTATCCACTCTATCATATCCGTAAATGCAATAAAAACTTCCCTACCTTTATCTAAATACAGTTCACATATATGCTTCAATGTAAACACTTGATCTACACATCCCCTACCCACTCTGAAACCTCCTTGCTTATCCGCAATCTTACATTCTATCTTACCTCTAATTCTTTCAATTATAACCCTACCGTACATTTTTCCTGGTATACTCAGTAAACTTATTCCTCTATAATTTTTACAATCTCTTTTGTCCCCCTTCCCTTTATATAAAGGGACTATACATGCTCTCTGCCAATCCCTAAGTACCTTCCCCTCTTTCATACATTTATTAAACAAAAATACCAACCACTCCAACACTATATCCTCTCCTGCTTTTAACATTTCTCTCATGATCCCGTCAATTCCAGCTGCTTTACCCCCTTTCATTCTACGTAATGCCTGACGCACCTCCCCCACACATCCTGTCCTTCACTCCTAAAAGATGGTATACCTCCCTGGCCAGTGCATGAAATAACCACTTCCCTTTCTTCGTCGACATTTAAAAGTTCCTCAAAATATTATCGCCATCTACCCAAAACCTCCATCTCCCCATCTACTAACTCCCCTACTCTGTTTTTAACTGACAGATCCATTTGTTCTCTTGGCTTTCTTAACTTGTTTAGCTCACTCCAAAATTTTTTTTTATTTTCATTAAAATTCCTTGACAGTGCCTCTCCCACTCTATCATCTACTCTCCTTTTGCACTCTCTCACCACTCTCTTCGCCTTTCTTTTACTCTCCATATACTCTACTCTTCTTATAACACTTCTGCTTTGTAAAAACCTCTCATAAGCTAACTTTTTCTCTTTTATCACACCCTTTACTTCATCATTCCACCAATTACTCCTCTTTCCCCCTGCAC